GTCGAGAGCCGCGCGCTACTCCCTCCCCTCCTCTCCCTCCCCTCCCCTCTCCCTATCCCCCTCCCTCTCCTCTCCCTATCCCCCCTCCACTCTCCTCTTCCTCTCCTATCCTCCCTCTCCTCTCCCTATCCCCCCTCCCTCTCCTCTCCCTATCCCCCTCCCCTCCCCTCCCTCCCCTTCCCCTCCCACTCCCCTCACCCCCACCTTTTCCTACGCCTCTTCACCTCCCGCCTCGCCTCGCTAGGAAGAAGAACGCCACGCCATGCTTGTCTACCTGCCGACATGCCGCTCCCACGTCGCTCGTACTCCAACTCTCCTGATAATGCCACGTCACCCGCTGAAGCTCCGCTCCTGCCTCTCCTCCCCTTCGTGTCACGCCACCCTCGCCACCCCTCTCCTTCATGCCACGCCACCCTCGCCCACCCCTCTCCCTTCATCACCTCGCCCACCCCTCTCCCTTCATGCCACGCCACCCTCGCCCACCCCTCTCCCTTCATGCCACGCCACCCTCGCCCCCCCTCTCCCTTCATGCACGCCACCCTCGCCCACCCCTCTCCCTTTCATGCCACGCCACCTCGCCACCCTTCATGCCACGCCACCCTCGCCACCCCTCTCCCTCATGCCACGCTCGCCACCCCTCTCCCTTCATGCCACGCCCTCGCCCACCCCTCTCCCTTCATGCCACGCCACCCTCGCCACCCCTCTCCCTTCATGCCACGCCACCCTCGCCCACCCCTCTCCCTTCATGCCACACCACCCTCGCCCACTCACACACCTTCCCCATCACGCAGACCACCCACTGCCGCCTCATTCCCCGAAACGCCCCCCCCCCCCCCACAAAGCCCGGGCCTCGCCACCAGCCTTTCAATCAGCATCGCCGCCGCCAGCACCAGCGGCACCTTCCCAATACCAGCAAATACCGCGCCGCCCGTCGATAGCTTGTAAAACCATCGCCGCAGATAATAACACTTGGTCAGCGTGCGTTTGACGCCCGCGCCGCCGCCGAGCTGGTGTGAATGACAACCCGCCCTCTATGCAGGCTCGTAATGCTGCATTTGCCAATGATTATTGCACAATAGCCATTGATGTATCGATTTTCCTTTATCGACCGCGATGAATCCGTTTAGACCTCAGGTTGGCATCACACGAATGAACGGGGGCTGTCGCTTTGATGCCGTGCCATACAATGAGACATTGAATAGCTGTAACAAAGGGTATTATGCACTCTTGCTGCGCCAGCTCTGGTGGATTCGGGAGGGGGGGGGGACGGTTGTTAATGAATTGCTTTGAGGTTGTGTGATACCTGTAACATCGTCATGAATGCTTGTTCTCTCTCTCTCTCTCTCTCTCTCTCTCTCTCTCTCTCTCTCTCTCTCTCTCTTTCTCTCTCTCTCTCTCTCCCCTCCTCCTCTCTCCTCTCCTCTCCTTCTCCTTCCTCCCCCCCTCCCCCCTCCTTTTGTCTCCTTTCCTCTCGCCTCACCCTTTACCTCTCACAGGAAACGATATCTATTATCATATGCTAATTATATGCTTGCTCATTAATGGCGTACCGAAATGCTCATTACCATTTCTCGTTTTGTTTGCCGGGGTTAACATTTGTACCTGGATTGTATCTTTCACCTGCTTGGTACTCCATACTCGGGTCATTCTGTTTTCATAGGGTTGGTCCCTTACATTACTCTACGTTTTTTGTTATTTTGTTTATCCTCTTCCACCTCTTCGTCTTCTCTTCTCTCCTCGTCTTTGCTGTCTCCGCCACCTCCTTCTCATCCTCTTTTCCTCATTTGTCACATTTTTCTCCTCTCCTGTCGTCTTCTCTTCCCTATCCTCTCCTGTCCTGTCCTGTATCATCGTCCTCCCCATCTTTCCTCTCCTTTCCTCTCCTGTATCGTCGTCGTCGCCGTCGTCCTCTAATCTCTCATCCTTTCTCCTCCCCCTTCTCCCCTTCCCCTCCTCCCCTTTCCCTTTCCTCCTCATCCACATCATCCTCATTGCATGGAACTCGGGCCCAATCACATATCTTCTGATTAAGCATGAAATGGGCTCGTTTGGGAGCTATTTATTCGTAATCTCTCTCATCTCGGGTCTTGCATTTTCGAATCTCCGACTGATTGTGGTCGCTTATTAAAGTGTACGTGTATATATATATATATATATATATATATATATATATTATTATATATATATATGTGTGTGTGTGTGTGTGTGTGTGTGTGTGTGTGTGTGTGTGTGTGTGTGTGTATTTTACACACACACACACACACACACACACACACACACACACACACACACACACACACACACACACACCTATGGTTGGATATATATTTGTACAAGTTCTAGGTTCTGTCACCATTGGTTTTGATAGCTATGTGAAATGTAATTTTATGACTTTCATCACAAGTCATTGGTGACTTTTTCCCATTTTAGTTGCGAAGGAGAACTATATATGTTCTGGAACGTTTGGTTGTACCCCCTCCCCCCTTGTCACGTAAGGCTGAATGTAAGATGGGAAGGATTTGGATGTCCGTAGGGAAGGTCTGAGGTTTTTTGCCCGAGCGTCTGCTGGCAAGTGGGATGTTTACCCGAGCCTCCTCCATATGGCGCTCCTCGTCGGCCACCAACCCCGGCTCGTTCTCACGCTCTTCCTCCTCCCTTACTTACTCTTTTCCTGCCTCTATGGACTGTTTATCCGCGAGTCTCCCATGCTTCCCATTATTTACCCCCCCTCCCCTCCCCCTCCCCTTCCCGTCCATTATAGGGGTCCCTCAAGTGCGGGTTCTGGATCCGGTCCCGCTGTACCAACTGTTTTCTTTCGTCGCCTTCGGATGGGTGGCGTCCAGCTGGCGTGCGGCAGGTGGAGCAACTGTGCCTTCTGCGATATGTTAAAAGCGGGGAACTTCCGCGCGTCAGTCTGTGCGACCCGTTATTGCATGACTTTGTAAGTGCGCGTTCATACATCTGCTTACACTTGGTGTGTACGGTGCGGTCACTCGAATTGTTTTTTTGAGTGCATACAGTTAAGTGTGTAAACTTGACCGCGAGCTGCTTCGTGCGATGAAATGTTTGAATTATTAGTATGGCAGCCACGATTCCGTCGTTTTACTGCCACCGCTTCTTTGCCCAAACCGTTTAGAACGAATATTTAGGAAAGCTGTTAAGTCTCACGGCCTTACTGAGCAGCTCTTGTCGCAGGTGGTCCCATAAAGTGTGTTGTTACCTGGATTCGTTGCTCACCCAGTCCCATTTTTCCCGGTCCGCGTCCCTCGCTCGCAATCCTATTTTCCCCGGCTGCCTTCGCTGGTCCGCTGGGAGCCTCCGCCGCCGCACTCGAGGAGGAAGCAAGCCCCCTCTCTTGTTTCGACTTTGCAAAGGCGCTCTCTCTCTCTCTCTCTCTCTCTCTCTCTCTCTCTCTCTCTCTCTCTCTCTCTCTCTCTCTCTCTCTCTCTTCTCTCTCTCTCTGTCTGTCTGTCTGTCTGTCTGTCTCTCTCCACCCCCCCCCTTATACAGAAAGTGGACTTCCACGTTGCTGCGTTCCTTTATTTGGATTATGGATTTAACGCAACAGGTTGAGAATTACAAATATTTCATGAGACGAAATCATGGTAGAACTCCTCTGCCTCAGCGTGCGGCGAGGTAGGTTCTACGTACGTAAAGGTAGGTAGTTTTTTTTTTTTTTTTGGGGGGGGGGGGGGGGGAGGGGGTATCTTTTTACGTGTGTTTTCTCATGTCCATGCATACACCCAATCATGCGTACACGAAAACTTACGCACACGCACACGGTATTCGGATTCACTTTTCTTTATGGAGTTTTACCACTTCTAAGGTTTAAACGATAATCTAAACCGCCTCCTCTCTCTCTCTCTCGCCTCCCTCTCTCTCTCTCTCTCTCTCTCCCTCTCTCTCTCACTCGTCTCCCCCCCCCCTTGTAATATGTCCTGTTATCTAAAGCTTATCAGCAATAAACGGCCTTGTGTAAGGAGGAATTTACCATGTAGTTGCCCATGTTTATAGCACTCGCTTATCAGGAAATCCCTACGCTGCGGTAGAACGCAATCGAAGGTTCGAGCGTAAGCCACGTTATATTTTACAATGTATGGCAGATGGCGGTTTTATCGAACTTTTTTTTTGTCGAGGCGAAGATGCACTTTGAGTGGTGGGTGGTAGGTGATGTGCCGAATGCAGCATGGCGAATAACGTTGTATTTTCGAGTAACTATCTTCACCAAACTGACATGGGCAATTGCGCAACGATGGTAGATGTGTCTGCGAGAGGAGAGCTTGAAACTTGGGGAGACGGAGAGGGAAATGGTTCTCACGTCGAGGCCTGTGTGTTCATGGGCGAGAAGTAGGTTGGATGGAATGATATCGTATATTTTTTGCCATTGATTCCGCTAGCTTGACTCGGCGAATTGGCCGACAGTCGCCCGAATTAACACCCCGTCCCCCCCCGGGCAGTGTGTATCGCACGCTAATGACCCAACTCCGTCTCCATTAGTTGCAACATGAAATCATCGACGGGCGCCTTGACCCTCGAGGTCTCGTTAGGCGGGCGTTCGCGCTCTTAATTACGGCGGCTGAGCATTCCGCTCCACAAGGCCCGGGTCTACTTGGGTGCAAAACGTCGTCGTCGTCGTCTTTTGTCGTACACAAGAGCGCAGTTTCCGTTCTCTTCCCCATAACCTCTCCCTCTCTCTCTTCCACTCGCTTTCTTACTTCCTTTCTCGTTTGCTTTTGTTAGCTTGATTACTTCTTGAAGCCAATATGCCCTTCAAGTGTGCCATTACGTCCTTTTTATCCTGAAAAATATTTGTTTGTGTATAAAACTATTGATGACAATGGGTACATCCGTTAGGGAAGCACAAAAAGTGTTCCCAATAATTAGTGTCTTTTTAAGAAACGTTTTCCATACATGATATTTTAAGTTGAAACTATATTTTGATTTCAAAGCTCCGTGATTTTTCCCCCGTAGACTAACCCTTGTCTTTCTCCTCTTTGCAGGTAAGACGGCGTGGGTTGGATGTAGCCGTCCGTCACGGGGCCTCACTTGCCTGACTGTGCCATCCATCCGTCCATCGCTGGTGACGTGTGTGATAGTCTGTTGTTGCTCGCTGGTCTTGGTGTGATCGAGTAGTGTTCTCTGCCGGAAGAGAAGTCGTTTGCGAGTCGTTCGTTTTGCGTCTTTTTTTTTTCTTGGAGTGGTGTGAGTTTTGTGTGTGAGAAGGTTGAATCGAGTGCTCATGCCGGTTGCGGGCCAGAACTAGCCCCCGTCCAGCCGCTGCCCATTTCGCAAAGAAAGAGTTGCCGCTGGGATGAAGAGGCCTGTGTCTGAAGTGTATTGTGCCTCCCCGTATTTGGCTGTACCTCAGCTGCAGGCTGTTCAGGCAGCAGTTCCACACCCGCAGGCAGCTGCTGTGCCGTACACACTGCACCAAAGCTTACAGCCTGCATTCACGACGGCTTTTACTCACGCCCTTGCACCTGTATCCGTCAGTCCGGCACTCACACACTTCAGCCCCATGATGCATTTCATGGACCAGGTAGGCCTACCCTTGTCCGGTACCGCCGGAAGTATTGTATAATCTTGGATGTTACTGTGTTTGTGAGAATCCAATAGGCGTCAATGCTGCACTGCAGGTCTAGTTCATTATTAGCCTGTGCGTGTGTGGATATGAATAGGCCTTCATGAGTAAGTGTACATAATTAGCTAAATGTGGAATTTTGTTTGTATACATGGTTATGTAATAACTTTATTTAGACGAAATCATGGTGTATGTATGTATACATATATGTTTGTGCGCGCGCGTGTGCACATATTTTCGCATTTGTTACATGCGTTATCCTGTTCAAATGTTACTTATATAATGTTCTTTATATAATGTATCCTCCCTTTTGTGATCTGTCAATCATCTCTTCCCCTCGGCATCACCTTTTCCCTCCCCTCCCCCATTTGTCCGTAGCCGTGTCTCCCGCCTGCCTCTTTCCTTCCTGTCTCCCTCTTTATTTTACCCCCGTTTACACCGTCCAGGCCTTGGTCCTTGTCTCTGCCTTTCATAATCCCTTCAACTCGTCTTCCAACATCTCGCAACGAGTCCAAGGATGAGGTGGAGCACGGGGAGTACCCGGCTCACTGGGGCCTCGCAAATCACCTGATTGGCCGTCTTGCAGGAACTGCGCAGGGATTCACGTTCAGTTCGGGCGGGGGCTTTGTGAGAGAGCTTACTGTTCAGCGTTGGGTCATCCCGGCTATCGGGCGGTGGTCTGGGTGCCACCTGATGTAGGGGAGGCGGGCGGGGATAAAGGGGGCTTTGTTCGGCGCCCTGAGAGAGGTGCTCTTACGTTGCTTCTCTCGCACAGAAACTCATTCTCCCCTCTTCGTAGCCACCCTCTCTTCACTTATCTCTGCTCTGCTCTGCTCTGCTCTGCTCTGCTCTGCTCTGCTCTGCTCTGCTCTCTCTCTTTCTTACTCTCTCTATCTGCTTTCTCTTCTCTCTGCTCTGCTCTCTTTCTCTCTTCTCTTCTCTTTTCTGTTGCTCTTCTCTTCTCTTTTCTCTCTGCTCTCTCTTCTCTTTTCTCTTCTGCTCTTCTCTTCTCTTTCTCTCTTCTTCTCTTCTCTTTCTCTCTCTCTTCTCTTCTCTTTTCTCTCTGCTCTTCTCTTCTCTCTCTTCTCTTCTCTTTTCTCTCTGCTCTTCTCTTCTCTTTTCTCTCTGCTCTTCTCTTCTCTTTTCTCTCTGCTCTTCTCTTCTTCTCTCTCTCTTCTCTTCTCTTTCTCTCTCTCTTCTCTTTTCTCTCTGCTCTTCTCTTCTCTTTTCTCTCTGCTCTTCTCTTCTCTTTTCTCTCTGCTCTTCTCTTCTCTTTTCTCTCTGCTCTTCTCTTCTCTTCTCTCTTCTCTTCTCTCTGCTCTTCTCTTCTTCTTCTCTCTCTCTCTCTTCTCTTCTCTCTCTCTCTCTTCTCTTTTCTCTCTCTCTTCTCTTTCTTTCTCTCTGCTCTTTCTTCTTCTCTTCTCTCTGCTCTTCTCTCTGCTCTTCTCTTCTCTCTTCTCTTCTCTCTCTCTTCTTCTCTCTCTTCTCTTCTCTTTCTCTCTCTTTCTTCTCTTCTCTTCTCTCTCGCTCTTCTCTTCTCTTCTCTCTCTTCTTTCTCTTCTCTCTCTTTCTCTTCTCTTCTCTCTGCTCTTCTCTTCTCTTCTCTCTGCTCTTCTCTTCTCTCTGCTCTGCTCTTCTCTTCTCTCTCTCATGCTCCCTCTTCTCTCTCTCTGTCTCCTGCTTTCTCTCTCTCTGGTTCTCATGCTCCCTCTGCTCTTCTCTTCTCTCTTTTCTCATGTCTCCTGCTCTTCTCTTCTTCTCTGTTCTCATGCTCCTGCTCTTCTCTTCTCTCTTTCTCATTTTGCTCCTGCTCTACTCTTCTCTGTTTCTCATGCTCTGCTCTCTCTTTCTCTGTTCTCATGCTCCCTCTCTACTTCTTCTCTCTCTACTTCACTCTTCTCTGTTCTTGCTCCTGCTCTACTCTTCTCTGTTCTCCCTGCCTCCTGCTCTTACTCTTCTCTGTTCTCATGCTCCTGCTCTACTCTTCTGCTTGTTCTCTGCCCTTGCTCTTACTCTTCTCTGTTTCTCATGCTCTGCTCTCTACTCTTCTCTGTTCTCATGCTCCTGCTCTTACTCTTCTCTTTCTCATGCTCCTGCTCTACTCTTCTCTGTTCTCATGCTCCTGCTCTATCTCTCTGTTCTCTGCTCCTGTCTACTCTTCTCTGTTCTCATGCTCCTGCTCTACTCTGTTCTCATGCTCCTGCTCTATGCTGTTCTCACTGCTCTACTCTTCTCTGTTCTCATGCTTCCCCTCCTCTCCTCCTCTCTCTCTCTCTCTCTCTCTCTCTCTCTCTCTCTCTCTCTCTCTCTCTCTCTCTCTCTCTCTCTCTCTCTCTCTCTCTCTCTCTCTCTCTCTCCCCCTCTCCCCTCCCTCTCTCTCTCTCTCTCTTCTCCCCTCTCCCCCCTCTCTCTCTCTCTCTCTCCCCTTCTCCTCCCTCTCTCCTCTCTCTCTCCTCCCTCTCTCCTCTCTCTCTCTCCTCTCTCTCTCACATCTCTCTCTCTCACACTCTCTCTCACACTCTCTCTCTCTCTCAACACTCTCTCTCTCTTGTCTCTCTCCTCTCACACTCTCTCTCTCTCACACTCTCTTCTCTCTCTCACACTCTCTCTCTCTCTCACACACACCACACACACTCTCACACACACACACACTCTCACCACACACACCCACACTCTCACTCACACACACACTCTCACTCACACCACACTCTCACTCACACACACACTCTCACTCACACACACACACACTCTCACTCACACACACACACACTCTCACTCACACACACACACACTCTCATTCTCACACACGCACACACTCTCATTCTCAACACACACACATCTCACACACACACCACACTCTCAGTTCTCACACACACACACACTCTCATTCTCACCACACAACACACACTCTCATTCTCACACACACACACACTCTCATTCTCACACACACACACACTCTCATTCTCACACACACACACACACACACACACACTCTCATTCACACAGCAGCTCACACACACACACACTTCATTCTCAACACACACACACACTCTCATCTCACACACACACACACTCTCATTCTCAACACACACACACACTCATTCTCACACACACACACACACTCTCATTCTCACACACACACACACTCTCATTCTCACACACACACACACACACACACACACACACACACACCACACACACACACACACACACACACACACACACACACACACACACAACTCACAAGCAGTATCACTCGGTCTTACTTATAGAAGAAAAAAAAGTTCGATTCACCCATGTTTTGCGCTGCGATCAGATGCTGGTTCACCTTGTACCCTAACCCTACCAACACTCAGAAGTCCCGATTATTCCTTCCCTCTCTCGCTCCAATACGCTTTGACGGACAACGTAACACCCGCGAACACAGAAACCTTCGAAGTGCCCCTATGGCAGCTAGACAGCGGTGTAAGAATTGTTCGTCAGCTAGTAAAGATGACTCGATCCTCCTCCCTCCCTCTCCTCCCCTCCCCTCCCCCTTCCTCCCTCCTCCTCCTTCCTTCTCCTCCTCCTCCTCCCCTTCCCCCTCCTCTCCTCCCCTCCTTCTCCCCCCCTCTCCTCCTCCTCCTTCTCCCCTCCCCCTCCTCCTTCTCCCCTCCCCCTTCTCCTCCCTCCCTCCCCTCCTCCCCCTCCTCCTCCCTCTTCCCTCTTCCTCACCTGTTGTATGCCCGGTTTGGCTTTAAAGATGCAATGATACTCCCAGTGTGGTAGCGGAGTGTTAGTTGGGGCATCGGGAGACAGCGGGGTCGTTGTAGCCCGTGGGAGCATGCCCGAAATTCGAGCGCGTCGGGGAAAAGGGCAGGTGGTTGGGGACTTTTAAAAGGAGGCGCGAGCGGTAATTGTGTGAGCAGGAAGACCGAGCGCGTGGTCGTGGGCGTAGGAAAATGGCGGACGGCCCTCTGGCGTAGGTGAGGACCGGTCGGGTGACTGTTACTGTGAGGGAAGCGTGATGTATGAAGGCGTGTGCAGGTGGAGTCGGCTACGGCGGGGCGTCGGGTGGAGTAAGATGGCGGCCGAGGAGCGTGGAACCTTGGGAATGGGGGCGCCGGGGTCATAAAATGGCGGAGAAGTAATATCGCAGGAAGCTGGGAGAGGGAGAGAAACACGAGTTGCTGAACTTGGGCTGAGTTGAAGATTCTGCTGTGCCTTCCTCTCGCGATGAGCCTCGTGGCTTGTTCTGGCCTCCGCGTCTTCGACCAAGGAGTGCGGATGAAGATTTAGCGTGCACCCTCTTGGTCCAAACAGCGCGACTAAATGATGCCACTGGGGAGACGAGATGGAAACGAGGCAGCTAACGAAAATGAAGCCTTATTCACCGACAACTCGTAATTAAAGAAAGGCAAGGATGATGATGAAAGCCTTGTAAATGGCTGAGAGGGAGGGAAGAGAATGTCTTGGCCTTGGGAGCGTGGAGAGAGGGAGAGAAAATGGGAGGGATAGAGGTAAGTAGGGAGTGCGGGAGGAAGTCTTGTCCTTGGAGAGAAGTGGGTGGTCACGGCCAGGGTTCTGGCGGTGTTGCCACATGCCATGCTGGGGTTCCCTCGCTAAGTACTCTCTGGCTGTGTTGAATGTTTTTTAACATTTCCTCTCTTTCGGGCCATAATGTATAACGCCCTTGCTTAGATCATTCACGTCAGGAAAAAATGACGGGGGAATGGTCAAATATCTTGCTATTCAACTGTGCATGATGCATCCGCGTCAGAAGACTTGGGATGGTGTTGTTGACTGCCAAAAGGAGGTTAAGAAAACCAAGTTCGTTTGCACGAGTCGTGTGCGTTGGTGCTCTGTCTCCGTAAATCGTGGCTCAGGATTCCCTGGGTGCGGCGAAATGTGTTCGTCATCGCCGGAAGGCCACGCCGAGGCAGGGGGCGGGCGGGCGGGCGGCAGGGCAATGGAGTTTCGCGGCCACTAGTCGACCGTGGAGATCCCCAAGGCCTCAAACAGCGCGCCGCGCTCAGTTTTCCGACTTATAAATAGATCCTACGTGTTGTACTAAGGGAGGGCTGGGCCGAGGCAGTACCCCATAGTTTTCAAGGTGCACCTTAAAACCATCCCTCTCGTATTTGTTTGGGAAGTGCTTTTACTTGACCACAAAT